AATATATATATATACATACACACACACACACACACATATATATATATTTATATATATGGATATATACAGATATATTTATACATACGGGTTTATGAAATATTAACTCCTTGGAATGAATTTTTCGAGAATGTTTTCGTAAATCAAGAACGAAAGGAAAAGGTATCGAAGACGATGTGGTACAGTCGTAGTCCTCACTATAAGCTACGTCGACTAGGGATCGGTAGCAGTTAGTTATATGACTCCATCGGCACCTTATGAGATATGCCTGCAGGTACATCATGGCCGGTGAAAAGTTGATCAAGACATGTATTTTTAACCTAAGCTACTACTGACCACCTAGACAGATTAAAAAACGTATTTGCCCATCAGGGAATCGAACCCTGCCCTCTTGCGTGAAAAGCAAATATCCTAGCCGATAGACGAATGGGCGATGAATTTATGTTGAATAAACAAAATACATATCAATTTTAGTTTTGGTAACTTTTACATTAGTCTCACTACATAAATAGGGTCGCAACAAAAAAGCCCTTATGTACGAGTCTGATGACAAACAATTCTTATCAACATGAAAAGCAAAACGATTCTTTTTACATATTACATATTATATAAACAGGTATTTTAGAGTTTTAAGTTTAAAAACAACAACAATACTTCCAATCCGAAAGGCGTTTGTTCACAATTGGCAATACCAGTTAAATACGGTCGCTCTCGAGAACTCGTGAGTGCACAAGTAGGACGACAACCAATCATAGTAAATTAGTTGGATCAAGCGGTTATATCAACAATGTGAAATTATTTATTGAAATCGGGAATGACTGTTCAAAATTTTACCGTCAATTATTGAGGTTTGCAGCATGAGTTGAGAAATACAAGCTATTGCCGACCTGTTGATACTTATTGCTAGCATAAATAAAACATAAAAATCAGCTACGAATTTGTTATCACCGTTTTCGAGGCACGGTAATCAACCACAGCAAATCAGTTAGTTTGGTCAGCTCCATACATATAAAAACAAGGATGATTCATACTTGAAATCGTGTATGACTGTTCAGGACAACACAGGCTAAAATAAAAAAGTTTACATGAAAATCCTACATAGTGTTGAGAAAGTAAACTGTTGCCGACCTGCCAAAAAAGCTATAATAGCATGAATAGATAAAGAAGCTATAATAGCATGAATAGATTTAGATAAAACAGGCTAATCAGTAACTAATTTGTTATCATCCTGCAGAGTAATGTCTCCATTCTCCACAGTACATTGAGATTCCCACTTAGTTAGAAATCTTCACTTCAGCGCTGTATACAAATCGAGGATTCGAACTTGCGAATTTTTAAATTTAGGCATGGTTCGTAACCAACATACATATACCACTGTGACCTGAAATTGATTCTGCATATCAGATAGCTGCCGCAAAATTATCACTTTTGAGTGCGACTTGACTGCCTTTTTTTTTATAGGCAAATTGTCAATGCACGTTTATTTACGATCGTGGTCCAGCAGGTACACCAGAGCACATGCAGAAGGGCATAAATCATACCACAGCTACCTCGTAACCTGTGCTCTGTCAGTTGGGATGATAGAGACGATCGTTTCTAACCGATTAACACACAATAAGATACGCGGATATGCAGGTTCCCGCGGCTCCCGCTGATGCCGAGCTCAAGGCGGTGATCGACAAGTTAGCGTCGTTCGTAGCAAAGAATGGGGAGGGATTCGAAGCCTTGACTCGCACCAAGCAGGCCGACAATCCCAAGTTTAATTTCCTAAATGGAGGAGAATCCTATGATTACTACCGTTATAAAGTGTGGGAAGCGATGGTGAGTCCGACTTTAATACTCGACGTTAGATGTTCGCATGGGGTTCATATCATGTGTCGTGTTCAAGTGTACCTATAGATTCTAGAAATGCAATGTGCTACTTCACGGTTGAAAAAACATATGCTGAACAATGTGGTTGTACATGTATATAAGGTGCATTTACACGAACATAGTCATGTGCATAGGGCCATGTGTACGAGGCATAATACACACGCACACACACACACACACACACACACACACACACACACCACACACACACACAC